TGTACGTCGCTTAGGCGACAGGCGGTGTCCAGCTGAGAGTCATCGGCGTCGGGTCGGTAGCCGCGTTTTTCATCGTCGTGTCGGAGCCTATTCAAGTGTTGGCAGTTTTTCACGCGGCAGGCGACAAATATCCCCACCAAAATCCCCTTTGGATGAGTCCTCACGTGGTCCGGGATGTCATGCCGCGGGTTGCATCCTCGCCGGCACATTCACCGTGCCGATCTCGTCCCGGTGACTACCAAGTCGCATGTATCAAGTGGTCTTTCAAATCTACAATCTATAATCGCGATCAAACACAAGCATCTCTTATCATTCTGAAGGAGAGAAGTGATTTCTCGCGTCATCCGGCGTCATTTGGCCCTGCAAAGTGAATTTAATTTTCCATTCGTGGTTTGTGAGGACAAATTGATATCCTGTCAATACAATAGACCAATGTGATATCATTAAAATTTAGTGTTTCTGTCGGGAGATTTAACGATGCAAATGATGGTTCACCGTTGTAATAATGTCTGGATTGATAAAGATCAGTTTATCGAGGAATCACCATTCTTGTGACTGCTGGGAACTTTAGGTATTACGTCAGCGTTACGATTAATGTAGATATCAGCGTAATCCAAGTTAATCTTCGACTCGAAAAGTCCACGGACTATGCTGCGACGGGAATTCATCACCTGCATGTAATGCTTAAAAAGGTATAAAAGCTCGGCTCGGTTATAGGCTTTTCCACACAATCGATCTTGCGCGGCTGCAAGTGCGATGCATCGTGGCGACGTAATCGGCACGATTTTCTTGACTGAATTCCGATGATGATGTAATATAGTGATCGCGTCACGCCGGTTTCGAAACTGGATTGTTCGCGTTGATCGGAACAGAAGTGCAATCGAACCAAGTCGCACGAAGTGTCATCGACCTGTCAAACGTCCTGTCATGTAAACGTATATCCATCGTAGATCGTACGCTATTCTACAACGGAAACCGCGAGAATTTGTGGCGAAACGACGTGTTTGAATCGTTATTGCAGCTAGCTGGTCATAATTCGTACGATTTACAATGCATGGACTGAGATGACACACCGAGGCGGAGACTCGCAGCTATGTCTACGGTGATCGTTGGGTGAGTTACGACGATTTCATCGTCACGTTGACATGTCTCGCGTCATCCTTTGGGACATCCTTCGGATTTCAATCTACGCCAATGAATCGGTAACGAAGAGACTCAGGGAAAATCGTTACTTTAATCGCTGATCGTAATCCTTTCCATTGTCATCGCGTTGAGAAATTTGAAGAACTTAGAAATTTGAAGAACTCTAGAATTTTTAGGCTCTTTCATGAAATCACTCTTATCGTTTTTATTATCTCTTTTTTCAAAAGAAAATGACGAGAAAGAGTGTGCGTTTGCGAATCTCTCCTACAACTTCAGTAGGTATTCTTTTTTTTTTTTTTTACATTCTTGGCTATTAACGGATATCGGTACAAGACGTAAGTGACGAACATTAACTGGATGCTGCGTCACGAAGTGCGCCAACACGGCGCGTGACGCGCGCATGCCGTTCTTGCGTGTTGGAATTTGTCACGGTCGGATTTCACGACGTTCCGGAATTTCGCGACTCTTCGGAATTCCGTGATGCGGCCACGTGTATACCTCCAACCGCGCAGGGTCCGGTTCGGTGGCGCGTGTGCGCATGTATCCAACCTCTGATCTCCATGCGATCGATATCGATACGCGCGATAGAAGTCTCTCTCTTTTTCTTGTTATCAGATGAGGAAGGATACGGTCAACGCAATGCTATAAATGCATTTAAGCATTTTTTCATTGGTCATTTTGTAAAATTCTTTCTTCTGATTGGTTCATCAAACACTTTAAAGCATTTATAGCGAGAATTTGATCATAGATAAAATTACATTTCGATAAAGCCAATTGAATGGTCAAATTACATTTTGAAATGGACTTTCTGATTATCATAATCATTTTTTAGTTGTTATAACCAGAAATTCTGTTTGATCTCACTAAAATATCATTCTGATTGGATCTTTTTTGTTGATTTAATCAAAATATTTTATTCTATGCACAACTAATAAATAGATTTATTATCGAAATTTCTTGAAAAATTCATAAATTTTAGATAATATCGAAATAAAGTGACAATAATTAAATTGATATTTGATATTGAAACTGCCGATTGCTAGAACTGTCAAAAGTGCCAATTTGATAATTTCCTATTCTTGTTTTTTGTTAATGAAAATTTATTTTGATATTATTTGTATGATTAGAATTGTTTGTATTATATTCACATATTTTTAATATTTTGTACTGTATATTTAATACAATAAAGAAAAAAATTGAAATGATTAACGAAACCAAATGACACCATCGACGGTTCTAATATTAAAATGAATTGCGTAGTAAACCAGAATATCATTCGACGATCGCGATTAAACGTGCAGAAATAGTCTAGACTGGAATTCTTCGTCCTCGGCACTCTTTCCATCTTGATGACACGTAAAAAATCTCACGGACATTTTTCCTCCTTACGTAAAATGTCCCGGGAGATCCGAATGTTAATATATCTCCGCGCCTTTCGACGCCGCACCGCCGACGGTTACCTTCGTCGCGGTACATCGTGTGTATTATCGCATCCGAGGTGATCCACGGCTGTTAATGAAACGGCTAGCAAGAGGTTGTCAGCGGGATGTCGTTGTGACTAAGTTTGCAATTATGTAAACCGGCATCCCGGCGAGTGGAATACTCGTACACCTTGATTTAGAGATGGTGGTCTTCGTTGATGTGAAAATTGAAAAATCGATATTGACGCTGCTGACGTAAATTAGATACTTTGGAATGTGGCACGATCATTCTACAAGTGGCTCTCAGTACAGAAGAAGCGAGAGTGTCCGCGCTAGATAAAACGCACACAAACGTGATCTATTTATAAATTCTTTCTCACTAAATTATATATAATATTAATAATATTTTTATTACATAAATATTATTATCTTTATTTTCAAAGAAAGTTATTTTAAAATAAAGTTATTTTAAATTTCTATATATGTAATTGTTATTATGTTGAACCAAGTTGATGATTTTCATGCATGGTATTAATCGTGTGATTACACTTCTTTTAATTTTTTATCCTATAGGCCTTTTAGATTTGTAGGTCTTTTATATCCGTTTTTACCAATGTAAATTAACTTTAATCTTAGTTTCACTTACATTTTATCTTTTTTTAGTACTAAGAAAAAAGATAAAGAGTAAGTTAAATCAAATTTATGTAGATTAAAATTAATTTACATTGGTAAAAGTGGACGTTTATAGATTTCTTTTAGAGACGTTTTATTTTTATAAAAGACTCTTTTATAAGTTTGATAAAATATGAATAATTTCTTTACACACTTCTGCGATAACAGATGCCGAATTCAGTTGTGCTTCGAGTAACCACGCCGTTGCCATAGTCGCGCCAATGCAATTAAATCTCGAAACCCGAGTCGACTGCGTACACTATACCGCGTTCCACGTTACGAGTGTTATGACCCGATGTATATCGCGCGGGGAGTGCGTGGCATGATAAATGCATGGCAAAGAGCCTTGGCGAAATCTGTATCGTGAACTTGTCTTCCAGTCGCAGATTTTCTACGTGAACGGAATAATTCCTATGTGCGGAGATTACACTGTCCGAAAAATTAGATCTAATTGGCATTTAATCGCAACGATTTTGTAAAAGATATGTCCAAGAGAAGAAGACGGATAACGATGAAAACTTGATCAGAAATGAAGGAGGTCATGCTTCTTCATTCGACAGAGACAAAGCGAATATTTTAAGTGGATCGGGGCCGCCCAGCGGCATTCCACGCGGTGCACCGAGTGCATTGAAAGACGAGGTAGGCGGGATGAGGCGAAAGAAAGGCATGTTTGATCCTCCCCGCGATACCACGGGCAAGCCAATAATCTGCAGTCGAATTAAAGCGAACGAGTAGCAAAAGCTTGTACCGGCGCGACCGCTATTCACCTGTGTTCTGTAACATGAGAAACATGCATTTGCATTGCGCAACTGCTTGCGGCTTGCATGTAACTCGTATGTAACTGGGTTATCATTTACAACCTGCGGTACGGTGGGCCGCGTCACTATTTTACGATTCTCCAATGAGCCTTTCCCATACACATTGGTAATTTTTTTGATGGTTTTACGTGAGATCATTCGTATCATTTCTTCGCTGCTGAAAATAGTATATCTGTATTTAGAAATAATTTATAATTTTACATATTTTAAAATTCTATTTTAAAGTTTGAACAATGTTGGTTTGTAATATTATTATTCTAGTTCAGTTACAATTGCGTTTCAAGACTGAAAATTAAGTTCGCACAGTTTTGTAGGATTGGATTTATAATATAAATATATAAATTCACACCGAATTATTTAAGCACTACCAAGATTTATAAAGATTTGATCTATAAAGATTTAGAACCTTTATTTCCTATTCATTGATATTAGATTTGTCTTTTTATTGCTGCATTGAACTATACTAGAACTTTCCTTCTTGCAAAATATTAAACATAATTTCGCTTTGTGTATGAAGAATCTAAACTAGTTTAATTAGAAAATTAGTCTAATTTTAGAATTTATCAAAAGTGCAATTATCATTTATTCTTGTTCTTAAGGATATTTATATTTTAAAAAACTATATAATTTAAAGATTTTAATAAATATGTGATTTATACGTACTCGGTACAATCTATTTGTACCATCATTTTAGTGTTAATTATCTCGTACACAGGTTTTCTTATCAGTTACAACTTATCAAATGCACCTTGTATTTTCAATTTGTGCGATTGGAAATAGTAATGACTGTACACACTGTGCGAGTTTACTATATAATCACACGAAATTTATTTGCATACATGATTGCTTAGAATCGCCGCAAATTGGATGAAATGAACTTATTGCATATTTCATTCGTGTTCCGATCAATATTTTTAACTAACGGGTGTATTTTTGTTGTTTCTAGGTTACCACAGCTTGCCGTTTTAGCGAAGATTTTGTGCCTCCTGATGGTGAGTATTTCCACATATAATCTTTTTATAACATTTATAGAAATTGTGTCCCTCTATTTCGAGATACAAATACATTATTCGAGATACAAATACATAGTATTTTTGTAGAATGTTATAATAAATATTAGAAAAGATTATTAGAGAAAATGAATGGCTACGATACATTTCATAGTTAATTAGTTAATATTGTCTTGTTTTGTAATTTATGAGATTTGAAAATATTTATATTATAACGATTATCGAGAAATCAAATGTAAAAGTACGGAAAGCTCAGTTCCAGCGTTTTATCGCGTTATAATCGGTTTGTAATCTTATCTCTTTGAATGCGACCGACATTTGTAGCAGCCAATTGCATAAAAGTAATTTGATGATTAGTCGGCCTAGTTTCGTGAACGGTAACGAGTGGCATAGAATTCGTATAGTGAGCCACAGTTCCGTTGAAGCCGCAAAATCACCTACTTCCTAGCTCGCTCAATGTATGTAAAGATATATGGAGGCCGCGATCGCGAGGATGACTAGGTCAGATCTGAGATATCCCCGGCACGAAGAGGTCGAGACCCGAGAGGATCGCGTGCTGAAACTCGTGCCAAGACTCGAGTAAATCGGCGATTACAGCGGCACGCACCTTACCTGCCATAGATTAATGATCGGCGCTTCCACTCCTACGCGTTTACAGGCACTGACAATTTATATGGCCGAGAGGCGGCTGCCGGCTTTGAACTCATCCTTAACTTATTGCGGCATACGTTTAATTCCCCGCTGTGGGCGCCGTAAAGCGCTATAAGTTTTGACGTCGCTTAAATTTTTTTAAAGTATCCACGACACCATTCATTGCGGAACCGTTAGTTTGCCATCGTGCTTTGATTAACTGCGTGCATGATAAATCGAGTCTTTCTTCATTGATCAAGTCTTTCTCGCGTTTCTAAACTGTCTGCATGTTGTTGTAACATTTACTTTAAGATACTTTATCTTATCAATTCTTAATTTATAAAATTGTTAACGATAAACCGATTGTCCATGTTTGACTAATGATGCCAAAAATAATTTGATGCCATTACTAATTACTGATTATGGATTATTTATGGATAACTAGATTATTAAATTATGATTATCTCAATTTGATAGTAAAATAATTTTTGTCATTGACAAAATATTTTTCAAACTCAACATCTATCATACAATATGAATCGTTGAATATCGCAGAGATTGGATTTGCATGGCACTCGTTATTTATTATGCTTTTGAAATTGATGAAAAGCTATGCTTGACTTCCCAAGATGATAAGAACAATTCGCGCGACAGTCTCATCGCGCGGAGACTCGAATCGTATTTAAATGAGATTTATGTATCCTCGATACCGGTCTTGAGCGGTGCAGTAAACGGTTTGCTGGTCCAATAAATAATTAAATGGATAGTCGACTGAATTGCGAGCGATAAATTTAGACGTCGATAGTTAAAGTAACTGCATGGTAAATCGAGATGAATGTATTCGAGGCTATCGCCTTAACGATACGTCTGCTAGGTGAGAATTTAATGAAGAATCAATATAAAATTCCAAAGAACTATTTACTGACAATTGTCATCATTTACTCGCATCCTTATTGTTTGAAAATTCTGCCGATTAAATGATAATGCAAATATCACGGTGATGACGCGAATCAATTACCATGTTAAGTTTTTATTGGCGCGGCAGGATAAACGCGATTATCTGCACATGATGTTGCAACGCAGAATTCAAATTTGTTATGTTGTGCGACAACGTCATTCCGTCATAAACAGTTTCTATAATGTTTGTGATCTACTTTGTATGTTAATCGTTAGAGAAGCATGGTGTGTTGTCTACTCTATTTGTCTGTTGAACTGTATACGATCTATCATCTCAACATTAAAAGGCTCGTGTTACAGGATCGTGAAATTGCAATAAAATCCTGCAATGTAAATTTAATTGTTCTTCTCCACATTCACACATAAATCTGTTCGTCACTATACATTTATTATTCGGCGATATTTCCTTGGAATAAATTTTAAAGCAAACATGTAGCATTGATTTTGACACGTAATGTGCAAAAAATATGAGCAAAATAATCTCAATTTTGAAATATTAACATTCAATTGCAAGGACGTTGCAATTCATTCAATCATTTAATTTCATCAATTTATTCAGTATTTATTTATAGTTTAGATATTTATGCATACACCGAAAAAAATATTAAACTTTAAAATATTCATTTAAATATTTAAATAGTTCGAAGTAAATATTTACTAAATAACATGTATAAATATTTGGTACAAAAAACATTAATTTGATTTAACTATGATTTGTTTTAGAATAAATATTTATTTATTGTAAGTAAATGTTTACTTAGTACTATTCGAAGATATATATATTAAGATTGAGTCAATTTTTTTCAGTATATGAACGAAATTATAATTTAGGAGAAACGCGTCACATATACAACTCTCCTAATGTCTCACGTCTACTATACGTGCACATTCATGCGTCATTCGAGCGTCGTGATTGCTCGATCATAGTAAGCTTTCTATTTCGATGTTTGTCAGACTAATGCGCGTTGCACCGGCTATCGTAACATTGTCGGCGCCACTTTTGATATAAACGAAACGCCAGTTTCGGCGACTATTAATGAATGGCTCGTGTCCGCTCGTTAACGAGCTCTCTGCCATCAGCATGCACCATCTCCGAGCGGCCAGCATGACGACTCTCCGTCTTCGTCTGACGGCGGATTTTTATCCGCGCGCATCCACCGCGGGAAGAATCTGCACTGGCAGATCAGCGAATGACTCGATGTCGTGATATGTGAACCGTAAAAGCGTTATTCTCAGCGGCCGTGGAAGAATTTCGACGTTCCTTAACGACTTTTAGTTCGGTCGTTGTTCTGAAAACATGTCTGTGAATTCTTATCCCGCCAAAGCTTTGTTGTTACATTCAACGAAAGATAAACTATCAGATAATTCACGACAAGATAATATTAAGCGCGATTCTAACTCTGGACCAAGTTGCTCATTTTGTTCTTTATAATCAATATTTGTACATTTCATAATTTATCATTTTTATTTAATATATATATATATATATAGAAGTGCTTATATTTTTGTCCGCATTTAAATAATTTATCAAATAGTCATAAATAGTATGATTTAATTCCTTGAAGAAATACTCCATAATAAAACGAACTTTTTTATAAATTTTGTATTTTCTTATAAAACGTAAAATATTGATTTTGAACATATTACAAGCACCACGGTCTATATAAGTCATTTGCTAATTAATTTACTTCTAGTGTTTCTCAGTTTGAAGAAGTTATTTAAACATTTGATAAAGCAACTTTTGAACGAACAATTGATAATTTTTGTATTCACGTAGCTAACAAATTTTGGACTATACGTACGGTTCTTGTAATTGTAGGTGGTGATGTGCGGGGCGGTGCCGGCGATGGTGCGCTCCGTGAGTCTCTACTCAACTTGCAGCAGCGGCAATGTTACCGTAATAGGCCGCTCGATCAAAGCAATGGGACGCGACGATTACAATGCACCCTACCGTAAGTAAGACCGCAAAATTGTTAAGTCTCACTTGTTGCTAATTTAATTTATATACGATACACAATATTTTTTTTAACGAAGAAAATTATTTTGTGACTATTATAATATTTTGTTATTTTTCCGAAATTTTTTCTTAATTAAATTTGCAGAAATAATTTAAAAATTTATTTTTATGTTTATTATATATTATGTATTGGGTTGTCCGGAAAGTTCGTGTCGACTAACCTATATAATTTAATAAATGTATACTAAAATTTAACTTTTCTGCGTTTCAATTTTCCTTCAACATTGACACGAACTTCCCGGACAACCTAATAGTTTTTTATTGTTACCTTTTAAGAAAAAGATACATTCCTGTATTTTTTTCTCTTACAATCTATGAAAATAAATGTCTTTTTTTTTTGTGGAAGATTTTTCTTAGACGCTCTAAAATTTCCAAATATTTAACTTAATTCGACATAATTGATAAAATTTATCGCGATTGCATTGTTAATTGATTATTAACATTGAACACATTTTATATGTTTATTTTATATGATTTGCATTAATTATCTTTAAAATAAAAAAATATGCATAATGATAACATATCTAAAATCATTAGAATGAGATAATAAAATCTGTTAATTGAATCAATTTTAGTCAGCATTTTTATCACATCAATGTGTAGTTTTGTATATAAGAAAGGGATTTTTATCCGGGAGTACGATGCATTAAAGAATTCTAATTTACTGTGATTCTTATCGATTGACCTCAGTCGATCGGAAAGCTTATCTCTCTCGTTTTCGCTGTAGAATGTCTTTACGGAGCCTTCCGGAGTGAATTTCCATTTTTACGAACTAATAACTGCAGTCCTATTTCCGTGAACAGTTTGTCGGACGTACAAACGTCGGAGAAGAAACGAAAGGAGTAAAAGCTGGAGGACGACCACCGAGGAGTCTCGATAAATTACGACGTAATTTTACCCCGTCTTGATTGTTTTCGGCTAGACACTCTCATCGTTTATTTTGTTGTGCATCGAGTGCATTTTGCCTCATTTCTATTTATTGGAATCAGTTTTACGAGCAGATATTATTCAGAAATAAAAGAGAATTTAGTTTTATTTTTCAAGCAATTGAAAGTCTTCAACAAAATATATGGGACAATTACATGGGTGTTCGCTTATCTTCCACTTGCATTTTATCACCTTCACATAAATCACATAAATTTATGAAAGCAATACTCATTTATGGACAGGACGTTAAGATGATATATTTATTAAACATTTGTCAAACATTTCGCGTCTTTGATTAATGTACTTAAATCGTTGACATAGAATTATAATGATTAAACACCTCTCTTGCAATTCGTTCGTTTCCGTTAATTTACCGATTTGTTAACTTTACAATCCGAAGTCGAATGTTTTCAAACACGGAAATGGATATTTTGGAATCTGAAATTAATAATAAAATAATATTAATGTAAAAAATTTTGAAATTTGAAAACTCTTCAACTTTGTATCATTTTATTTTTTACATAATTTAATTGTGGATTAAAACGAATTTAGAACGATTTGAATATAAATCATTTATTTATTACACACGCGGCACAGTATAGTCGTTTTATTCTCAAATTTTACCAGTACAAATACTATTTTGTAGATACCTCTAATATAATAGAGAAATTCCACATCATAATTTAAATTTCATCAATTTCGTTCATATGAAGATCCTTCACTGTTGAAACGTTTTTCTCGCGGTAGTTCCTTTCGCGAATTCGCGAGTTCGCGGGAATTTTGCGCCTGATATCCCGGACGAAAAACGAGCGAACGGGCTGTCCGCCCTACGCGGCGTGAGTACGAGGCGGTTCCTCTTAAGACGATTGCCAACGAAGTAGGGGACGAAAGGAAGGTTCGGAAGGAGGGAAGAAGGCGCTCGCTTGTGCAAACAGAGGAGCCAGTTTTCGCGCCGCACGCTGCGCGCCGCGTCTGCACCTCCCCGAGATCCATCACCTTCGCGTACCTCCTTCTCCTTCATCTCCTGCCCTTCTTCTTTTACCTCCTCCTGTCTTCTTGCTTTTACCTCCACCTTTTCCCTCTGTTACTCTGCTCTCTCACCTCTTACGGCACTCAACTGCCGACAACGAGCCTCTCCTGACCGGCGATTACTCAAGCCTCTCTCGCGACTCGGCGTGTGCTGCTGCACGAGAGATTGAGACACTGTGAGAGAGTCCTTGAGGAGCCATGTACCAGGTTCCGAGGTAGAACGCGCCACGACATATCTTCGGGAGCTTGGAGTTGTTGCTGATGTCGCGACTGTGCAAAGCCTATTTTTTATTAAATAACAGACATTATTATATTGTAAAAATTCTATGATAATATGATATTTACTAAATAAAATTAGAATTATATAATGTATGGAGGCATGTCGAAGCTCATACGCAATAGTGATTTTCCGGGAATCGTTTTACATATCGATACCCGGATAAACAAGTAAAAGAATTATATAATTATGGAGTAAGATATTTTTTGCGCTTAACGCATCTATTAATCGTTGCATTAATATGCGTTGCATTAATATAATTATATATTTAATATGCCGAGTTGCGATTTAACTAGAGTAATATTAGAATAATATTAGAGACGTACAAGAAGATCAGGAATTCTGAACAAGGGGTAACTGAGCCAAGCTGGAATGATAAATCATAATTCAAGTGAGTCAGTTAATAACATGATAATAACTATCATTTACAATCAAGGTAAATAATAATTATCAATTTTTCGTTACTCGCATACTGAGCAAACACAAATATAACCTACGTAATACGCCGTACTTATAATTACCGTGACACGACATACCATACTTACATGATTCCCCAAACACTTTGCGAACCGTTCCGTCTGACATTTGATGTTTCAGAATTAAGTGTCCTTCGGACTGACATCCGCGCGAATTTCGGTATGACGACATCGTGAAAGAGGGAAAGCGATAGAGATCTGAACTGGGGCGTGTTATGTTTATGAGGAATCGGTTGCGCCGGCAGCACGAATCGTTCGAACTGGAATTTAATTATTTGAGTCGCGGGGGCTGTGATTACCGCGTCAGCCCGATAAACCAGACTTCACCTGTCGCACCTTTGATCCATCCCGTGCATACCTCGCATTACATTCCCGTCCGTCTTGCACCGGTGTTCGTCTACTGTGCATCGTCAAGGAGAAGATGATCCTCGCGCATCGGCCAATCGTGCGTTTAGGTGTTAATGACAGGGTCGCTGTTATACGCGCGCGCTCATAACAAGAGAGCTGCATCTATACGCTATGTTCTCTCCTGCCTCTTGCCTTTCCCTTTTGACTTTTTCTTGCGCTTTACACGGTCGGTACCGACCATCTTCCTCGCGCGTTGTATTATAGCTTTCATAACGCCGACGCTGCGAAATTGTAGCGCCCCAGTGGTTCTCAGTCCAAGTCGGCATCGTTTCACCTTTGCGCCAAAGTCCAACATCAACAACTAATAACTGCGCATTGATGCTTTTTGTTATGTAGTAATCACGTACAATTTTTCTCTGTTTCTCCAAAAGGATAGTCGAATTTTTAAGTCTTATAAATTTTTCAGGTTGTATTGCTGGTCAATCATGGGATAAAACTTTCTGAATAGTTTGCTTCACCATGCGATAGAAAAATGTGGGTAGTTGCGAACCTGTAACGAACGGCGAATTGGTTCCTATATCGCGAGGAGCACGTAGAAGTAATATATGGGATCCATTCTTCTCTCCTTCCATCTCGCTCTTTTCCTCTTACGTGCAGACCCATCCTACCAGTTATTATCCGGAGTAATCGTGCCTAAAAGCCGGTGCCCGCTTTTGATTAAAATTGGCTTTTAATTCATTTGGCAGCCTCTAATCTCGCGGCGGCTCCGATCAGAGGGAACCAGAGTGAGGGCGACGGTAAGGAGAAAGGAGTAGAGGGAAGTTGAGGGAGAGAAGACAGAGGTTTGAAGCGAAAAATTTAGTGGCTTCCTCTCTTCATCCTCATACGTGCCGCCGAGCTTGCGAGTGCGTCATGAATAAATTCCGATGTAGCACCTTTCGGCAAAATATATTACATCGATCGATTGCAGATAGCTCTTGGAATACTTCTTATATAAAGTTTTAGAATTTTATATTTTAGAATAGTGTTTGATATAAAAATAATTTTGGTTTATATTGCATTTATATTATATTTCTAATTCTGTTCTCTTTTTATAATTCAGTCATAAAGTTAAACTCTCGGTTTAATCAGTTACCAGATTTTTTAAAACTATTATCTGAGATAATAGTTTATATTCAAATTATAAAATCATTGTTATTGAGAATATATTGTATATGAATTTTTTTTTGATTTGTTAATATTTGAAAACAATATGGATTTATTCACAATTTTCTGAAGAAAGTAAGTAGAAATCAAACAAATATTAGATGGAATAAGCATATTAAATAATTTATTATGACAGTATTTCTTAAAAAAATAATAAAGATTTTAATTAATGTATTATAGCTTTTTTATTATGGATCTTTGATGGAAGTGCATATTTAATAATTCATAAAAGTAATTATTAAAAGGAAAAAAATATTAAACAATATTCATACAATATTTTACAATAAATCACATTTTTCTGGGTTGCAAAAATATTCCAGGGATTCTATACACGCCTACCGACAGTTCTCAATGTCATTATGTGTATTGCGCAGATATTTTGTATGGTAAAAAAGTTGTGCAAAACACATAATGACAAATCGTAGACTTGTACAGAATAGCATCTCAGGTAACTATTCCCTGACTATTCCCGAGTTAAGAATTCGCAGATTTGCACAGAATAATTTGTTTTGATGTCGACATAAATACTTTATTATATTTCTCAAATTCCTCCAATTTTAAGACATGAAGAATTTAAAGTATTTTTATCAATATCGAATGTATACTTATTGCGTTCATATCTTACTAATACTTTGGGGAAAAGATTCTTCGGTCGAGGAAATCCGTCAAATGGAAGATTGAAATCAACGCGTCGTAGACGCCTGTCTCGAAACTCCATGCGTCTAGCAACTTACTAACAAACGCGTCAGCACTCGAAATGGCGCGCCGGTCTCACTTCCTTTCTTTGATAACGATAACCATCGCTTCGAGACGAAGCGACAGAGTTTCGCTGCGATTGCTTCAGTCGCCGACGACGATGTACCGGAAATGTGAAAGTTCGGTAATGGGTAACTGGAGCGAGCAAACACGTATAGAGGACTTTGTGAAATGCGGTAACATCGCTCCGGTTGTTATCATCGTATCTTTTTCCGCCATTGTACCGCAGATATTGCGCGACGCATACTTAAAATTCCGGTGTCACAAACCGGAAGGAAAAGAATATCGATTCTATCGTGCTCGATAGTTTCTGATTTATTTGCAACCGTTGGATACTTATATTATCATGTAATGCACATTCCGTGTCTCATTATCGATACGCTAGTTTCGCTATGTTCGAATTTCCACATCCCGTATAACTCCCTCAATATCTCCGACAAAGTTCATATTAAGATAGCGTGATTATATGATTCAAACTGGTTTTTATTATAACACCGATTATCTCGTAACACTTCTTACCGTTTGTCAATTGATAAACTGTCAGCGATTAACAGATTTTTAAAAAAGGAAATTTTTAATGTGTTATCAACTTTATCAATATTTCAACTAATATTTGTTTTTACGATAATAAAAATAATTTTGAGTCTTTATTTTTGCTAATTAATTACTGATTGATTAGACGCAACTGATTGGCTGGAAAGATTATAATTTTCTGATTAAATATTTAATATTTAAAATTATTATGTATAGCATCTATATCATGCAATAGATGGATAGCTTGAAAAGAATGATTTACATTCTTTGCTGTTGAAAATTTATTAATCAAATTTTTATAAAACAATTTTTTCGGCAATATAAAATATATAGAAATTTATTAGTAAATGTAAGTTTTATGATGAAGTGTTCTGATTTATAACCCAGTTTTTTATACAATCTATTTGAGAAATATATGCGATGTATACATTTTGTTAGTGTGTTGTGTATATATTATGTTGTTGTGTATTTATCGCATATTTAAATTGTAAAATGCGTAATTTATGGCTAATTATTCAATAATAAGCTTTTGAAATGTATATTTTAGTAATTGCTATCTATCAATCAATGCATCAATATTCATAAAATCTATCGATCGCCATGTTAAAGGGTGTGTAATCATATATGTATTTCTCACTTGGATTACTTTGATTCAAATGATAGATAAAAACAATGGTTTCTCTTTAATGATATTATCGGACTCAACATCCCATTGCGAGGCAAATCCAATTAATTAGCGTAAATTAATTGGCGCGGACTACACACCATAGGTTAGTGAGTTAGCAGTTTGAGATTAAGTTCTCTGTTTCTCACTTTTTTTTTATTGGCGAAGATCCATGCAAGGCGAGAAAGAGGCGTAAGTAGAAGAGAACAGGATAGAGAAAGAGAGTGAGTGAGTGAGTGAGTGAGTGAGTGAGTGAGTCAGTGAGTGAGTGAGTGAGTGTGTGAGAGAGAGAGAGAGAGAGAGAGAGAGAGAGAGAGAGAGAGAGAGAATTAGACGGAGTTAAAGAAGGGTTTTACGAGGCAGTTCGGGGACATTCTTGATTTCGATGTTGGAAGAGAATCCGACGAGGACCACTTGAATTTAACGAGGTTCCACAGCAAATGGGCCACCCTGTAGATCCGCCTCCTTTATTTTCTTTATACTACTGGAACTCATACTGCACTACTAACTACTAACCTATGGATAAACATTCGATTTTAAGATTGCGTCTTCCACAAAGTTTCCGAGAAACATTATGATCAACTTTAAACAAACCGGTCAGCGAAAGGATAAAATTTTTGCATTTTTTCTTTATTAAGTTCATTATTAGCATGCGCAATGGTTCCTAAACTATTATGAACTATTTTTCGTTTTAATATAACGAATACTTTCAAATTACTTATGACATAAAGTCGTAAATTTTACGAAATAAGGGATATAAAAATATTGCAAATATTGCATTCATCATCTCTCTCGTAAATGAAAAAGAAATTGATTTAATGTAAAAATCGCTACTGACTCAGTTCTTGCAATGAGTTACAGTAACAAGCATATTGGTGAATATTTCTCGTGTCAAGAAAGAAAAAAAAGGAAGTCATTGGTCGCGCACCTGTACCTGATCCCTTTTTTTTCATTCGACGGACAAAGGGTGCCTGCTTCTCGCTCGACAAAATTTCGTAACACCAAGTAGGAAGAATAAAGGGAAACGGAGGGACAGAGAGAAAGAGACAGAGAGACGGCGCTGCACCGGCTACGGTGCAACGTGCACTTCGGGGTCGAGGCACGACAGGATCCGCTAAGTGGCAAAGCATACACCGGACGGTCTGTGCCTCCTTCATTAGCACCAACTAGCCTCGGCGGTAGGCTTAGCCGAGTCTTTTCTTCTTTTCTGCCGGTGCCGAAGAGAGCGCCGGGTAGAGGGGCCCAGCGTCGTTGTAGGTACAACTCGCGCCATAAACCTCGACGAGGTCTCTTCTCGGAAATATGCCAGCATGCATACCAAAGCACAAAACGGTTCGCTTTGTGCATCCTGTCGCCTGTCCTCTGGGATCGAAGCTTCGTGTTGGTAGAAACTGCAAGAGTTTCTACCAAAGTCTCTTGAGTTTTTCCAAGTAATTCTTGCATTTGTGCATAGGTATTATTTTACGCGAAATTGCCTGTACTTTTGCTTTCTTGGAGAGAACAATTTTATAAACAATTTTAAAATCGTTTGCTAAATTTTATTGATAAGAATAATCTTTTATATAATATTATTATGTAATATACAGCTGTTTTGTTCAATTTTGTTAGATTTTGTTCAAACGCATAATGAAGTTTCCTCTTCGTCTGTTACAGAGAAGCTCACCACACAATCGGAAGATTTCAGTAGGAAGCTATACATCTTTGCGGAGAAGAGCCAACGATACATTTGCTTCAATAAGCGATGGAAACTCGTCGGCCTGGTAATTACTCGCCTTCCAATTAGTAGACATACTTCATCATCTCAAGTGAGCGGGTATAAAATTTACACGCGCCGGTAAACGCCTCGAATTGCACTTCGTAAATTTCTATTCATCACCTACGCTCGAGACTATAATTTAGAAGTTGAGTTATTAACAGTTTGATGATTCAATGTTTGTAATATATATTACAAGATTCAATTTTATTTGATTTTTATTTATCGTGTGTTAAGTACCGTTTAATTGCTGAAATTCATTTAAACCGTTTTTTAATAATTTTTATTTGGAATGCTATAATGAAAATTGCGTACAATAATTTTCAAATTTTCATATATATATCATAATTAAATATATCATATATTTCATAATTAAAGTTTAGTGTTTTGATTTATTTAATGTGTAAGAGCACATGATAATGGCTGATTATTGCGTCGTTTATGGAAAACAATTAAAATTGTGTTATTCATTAAGCGCGGTTACATTGCTATGTATGTTAATCACGCAATTTTTAAAAAACACAATCGGCTAACACTTTATTTATCATGTATTCTTGCACTAAGACTGAATTCTGAAAAAGCGTTATTCTCTCATATAATAGAGATTTGAATGGATCTTTTAATCTTTTGCAGTCTTATATATTTTAAATTGTAATATATAAACTTTACAATAATTGCGAATTTTTAAAATAAATATTTAATTGTAATGTTATTATTACGACAAATATTTAATATTAATTCATGTGTAATATTATTTTGAGCTGCAAAAGATAAATGTCGAAATAGCGAGTAGTGAACCGTCGACTATTTATTGCAGCCGAAAAAACAGAAGGGACCGATGTGCCAGTTTTACGAGGTGTACAATGGCTCTTATCTGAGGTATAGGAGCGCCGTCGACGGGACGCGGTATATCGGGTTCAACAAGTTCGGCAAGCCGATGAAGAATCCCCATGGCAGGCAAGAGTGTTTCAACTTCATCAAGTACAATCCTCATGCCGACATAAACCATCACAACAGCCTGGTGAACGCGGAGATGGGTGGTATGGAGCCGCGGGAGCCGTACGTCGTCTCGAGGAAACCGTCGCCGGTGATGAGGGCTACGAAGAACTCCCTATTGCAGGCCGACAGTGCGAGGGAGCACGTCCACACGTCCACGCATCGCCATCGACATTCGAATCGTTGGAAGCATCGGCAGGACGGGGCAGACTCGGGACCTCGGAGACGGCATGAGAGCCGCCTCCTCGTCGAGGCCAGCAAGTATTGAGCCACGTGCGAGCTCGCCGATCAAGACTGCCTCCTCTGTACTCCGTGAGAACCTGAGATCAGAACTGCCAAATACGCTGGTGGATCGCACGGTCGGGATGTCAGGAGCCCACTTAACGGCGTGGCGCCTCGTGTGTCGCGACTCGAAGCACCACGTATTCGTTCGATCGGTCGGCGAATCAAGAGCGCGGGCGCGGCTCGCTCCGAGCACACACGCCTTAAGCTGCGCCCGTTTAGTTTCCGTTTCCGCCCGCCGGAGCGAAGCAATGTTCCCGCGGCGAGGACGAGTGTCGTCGTCGAGATTAGCGTCCAAGATCGGCGGTGGACACTCGCCGGCGAAGCTATCTCAATTTCACGCGGTTAAGTTCGATTTACACTTGCCCCCGACTGATCTCTCTTCAGGCAAGTATGTACCTCGTAACGTATAAGAGCGTTTTCTTTCTCATCGTTGATTCCTCGTGAATTTAATTCGCGCGCGCGACGAATATCGCTCGTTATTTTCTGTCTCTTTTTTACTCACTCTTTTTCTCTTTCTGTCTATCTATATCTCTTTCTCTTTTCTTAATCTCGTGACGAAGCGTGGCCAATTAGTAGAAAATATCTTTCTTTCGATACTGCGCGTCGTGGTAAACGCGCGATACCGTGCTGGCTATGGAACGGCTTCATTCAAGCCGTTATTGCTTGGTCGATTGGAGCGTCGTTTGGAGCGATGCAAAGGAATTCACATCGCGTAGAAATCAACCGAACGGCTGCTGTGCTTCGAGCGCGGTCACCGGCCCACGATGGTAGCGCAAAGAGCCGCGCGAATGGCGCACGCCGACAGACATGCTGTTTCCTAATTTATTTCGCAAAGATAATTCGTCTTTTGGATACATCATGAAATTCGTCTTTTGGATACAGAATTACTAACATAATTTTGAGATATTAACATAATTCGCTTAAACAATATTTATATAAAAAATTTGATCAAGATGATTGACACAATTAGATTAAATCTTAAAAGGAACGTTTGTTGTGTGTCTCTCGTTTGTTCCTACTATAAAATCTTAATCTTCAATTCAATATTATATCTTTGCAAAATTATTGCAAGAAATTGATAGATCATTCGTGTTACTTTTGAACAAGTCAGTTCATTCATTTGGCTTGATCAAACTCTTTTCGATAATAAATTACGCATTATCGAAAATATAATTAGTGTTGACACTTGTGTTGTGCACAAAAATCAAGATCGTATACAAGATATACGATCAGAATTTGATCCTCGGCGAATAAAAGCGGGAACACTGTCGGCGCTGGTCCAGCGAGGAAATATTTGTCACGTCGCGGACGCTCGTACGTCGCCACTCTTACGCTCGCCTACGCAGTTAGAGCTCTCGCCGCGCAAGACTCTCTCGCTCGCTGTGCTAATTACGCCGCCTAACGTAGCGTGCGTGCGTGCGTGCGTGCCTGCTCGCGTGTATGAATAATGTGTGCGTGCCTGCCTGCGTGCGTACGTGCGTGCTCGCGATGTACACGCAGGCCTTACCGCCGCCGACGCACAAACTCGCGGCGCGATCGATTGCGAACGTGCCGAGTCTTACAACCGACCGACAATTCTCTTTGGTTTTTTTTCTTTAATAAATTCATAATTCTTAATTCGGGATAATTCTTTATTCGGAACCTCTGAAAATTAACACGATGTCATTGTGTAACTTTGGAAATAGGAGGAACAAAATGTTTCAGATGCGGGACATTTGAAGGTTTGATATAAATAAGGCTGGAAGTGCCATGTATTTAAAAAAATTACTTTTGTATTTATAGAAGAGCTCTCTACACTAAAGATACAGCAAAAAGCTGTACATGTAATTTTTGAGAAGATTCTTACGAGATGTCAAGAGATAAAGAGTATTTTTTCTATACGTTTTCAAATGAATAAAATGTAGTTTTTCATTTTTGTACTTTTTCCAGTGTTCGTCTGTGTTCCTCTATCTCTCAAATACAAGATGACATCGATCGATATACAAATTTTGTCGGCAATATTTTCTAACGATTTTACGCGAAAGTCTTAAAATATTTCTTCTTTTATTCGATGGCAATCGGTCAGAACTGCGTGTCTGCGTACGCGAGTATATTGGACTTGTGTGCATTTGCGTGCATACGTATTTCGCCTCCGGAAAGCGTGTGAGTGCGTGTAATATAATGCATTATCGTTAATAAACTTAATCCTTAGAACGCTATCGCAGACTGTATTATTAGGCTAGGTATATGAATATATGACGCGGTGGCGACTCGACGAAGGAGATCAGGGGCGCCGAGTTCTTCGTTACTACGCAAAGACGTCTTGTGCCAGTCTTATTTTTCGCTTCTATTCTCTGAGATCGAGCTCTCGACCGAGCATCGACCTCTCGTGCCGTTTTAACTTTTCACAGGCACAAGGAAGGCACCCCGGAGCGGTTCATTTTCGTAGACTCGCCTCGTAAGGAGCGCCTGCCCTTTTTCCCCTTCTCCCCTCCTTTCCAAAAAGAAAGAAAGAAATCGCTCCCTAGGTAGCTTATTTATTGAATCACGTTTAGGTACTACGAAAGCCGAAATGCCCGAGATACCCTTCGTTCCCCCTTGTACGTATATATATGTATATGAAGATATGCGCTGCTCTCTTTTCATCGTTTTCATTACCATTATCCTTTTTCCATTTCCTTCCCTCTTTATCAATCACATTTCTTAATTATCATTTCGCTCAACATCATGTCACAACTGCAGGTCGTACGATGTCACTAATTATTAATTCATCAGCTTTTAGCTTATTTATAATTTATATCTTCTTCGTGAAAACACATTTTCTACGCGTTACAAATTCTTCATAAAGAATGGTTAGTAGTGTTTTACATTTACGTTTAATGTTCCATCATATCGCTGTAATATGGAGTAATATCTAAATTATGCATTTCAAAGATCCTAATTACTTAATAAACTTAATTTACTTAACAACATATTTTTTGTTACTCCGCGTCCCTTCATTTCGTTTAAATTATTAAAATTCACGCTTTTTACACAAAGTCTGAAAATACTCAATACCTGATTAATTTAATTGCATACGAGTGGCAGTGCATAAGAAAGCTTATTCCTACGGATGATATTTGTATGTGTGTTAAAAAATGTAGGGAGCAATATGCACATAGTAACGCCACGTTTCGTGCGACGAATCAAAAATTTAATTTTACAACGCATTTTATACAGATTGAATAATTTCGAAGCGGCATTTTTTTACATAATGAAAATCTCTTCTTACTTGGTTTTTACTGTGAATCATTCATTAATTATGTTAAAGTTCGATTTTTTTTGGTGATTCGTTATCGGCACGTGGCGAGTGCAAGCTAAGCACGATAAGATGTCGCGTGTAAACAAAAATTAAACGCCAGCAGATGACCATGAGAAAGGCATAAAATCCGACGCTTATAATTTAATAACAGATAACTAATCTAACGTGTATATGTATTGTATTGTAATATGAGTATTATATAACTCCGCCTCTAAAAATTAACCAACTCGTTTTGTATGTGTAAGCATAGCGTCGTAACGTAGCGAGAATCACCGCGGCGTTCACGGCGATGCGAAGAAAAATGACGGAATAATTTTTATGGAGTATGCGAGTCTCCTCGAAAGCGAGATGTGTCACTGACTCTGTCGTTCTACATATATATGTGTAAAAAAAAAAAGAAAAGCGCATGCGATTCCCGACCAGCGTCACTCTCGCGACCTCATCGAACTACTCGTAATCGAGCCATCTCGGAGTTACTTTCGAAGAAAATTTCGTCGATTGTTTGTTGTCGTCTAGTTTGTATATTTTTATATTGGCGAAAATTTTTGTTCGGTATTTAAGCTCTGTTAGCGTCACACATGATGTTGCGGTCACCTTATCACCGCGTGACTCGATTACGAGCAGATCATCACATCACCCGTCCCATAATCTTACACCCTCTCCTTTTTTTTACTTTCTCACCATCGACGAACCAGAAAAACGGCAGATGAAATGAATAGAACACAAGAAATGAATCTGACTACCCCTTTCCCCTTTCCTATAGATAGATAGTATACATACTAAATAAAAAAAAGAAAGGTAAAATATAAATATTATATATATAAATAAAAATATATGAAAGATGTGTATTGTAAGATATTTAATACCGACTTGTCTTAGGCACACCCGATGACGATCGATAACAATGAAACAATGATAATAATTATTACGATGATTGTTGTATAACGAATGACGACGATGATGATATTCTACACTGTAATTCGCGTTGTAATATAGAGGCCCACCCGTTATCCACTAAATCGATGTGTCAATGTATCCCCGGCCGTGCTCTGCTCGTGTGTGCATTTCGAAAGGGATGACTGAGAGGGAGAGATCGGACTTTGCAGGTGCATCGCGCTTTGGACGACGGCCAATCAGCCGAACTGAGATTTTTCTACGAGAAGGACTGGGAGCCACTTTCGTAACTGGCCGACGTTCAACGACTGTCGCACTCGGGAAATTAGGTTTCGATCGCGCCTTCGTGCTGCGCAGCATTAATCATCGTAGCGCGAAAGCTACACACACACACACACACACACACACACACACACGCGCGCGCGCGCGCGCGCGCGCGCGCACACACACGCACGCACACGCACGCACACGAACGCACACGCACACGCACACACACTTGTCCTGTTTACGATGTGCAGCAGCCTATTACGAACGAGCATAGCACGTCCGGCAGCAACTAGCAATAATATAACATTCCAACTTAAATCGCATATGTACTGCGAATTCTAATAATGTGTGCCGCCATACGAGAAAGAAAAAAAAACACTGTCAAATACACGCTCATACACTGCTATTCATCGTATTTATTATCATACCGACTTCTTATCCCTCTAATGGCCATAATCGCGAGTCCGCAAAACGACGATGTGAAGAAACAGTAGCTAAACCAGTCTTCGAAGCGATAAAGTAGCGAACATACGATTTGGTCCAACGAGTTATGCAAACTGCAGAAACATTTACAAAAAAAAAAAAGAACAAAAAAGAAAATCGAACGAGACGGGTTTGTCTTGCGCCTAATATCTTATAATGCTCGTAACTTTGTTACTCTCATTTATATTTTTTATTCGAAATTTAAAAATAATGAATAGTATTTACTGTTAAATTAAACTTTTTTCAGAAAGTGCAAAATTTATTTACAATAGTATGATAAATGTATTGTATCGAGATTACTCTAAATTTACTATCACAGCATGGTAAATATTATTGCAATAGAAGTTTTAAGTAACAGCTTTGAAAAAGGAGATTCCATCGTGAAAAAGATCTCAAAACTTCATAGGAAGCGCCGAATTTTTA